AAACAAATGCTGCCGTTTAGATTCAAGACTTAGGACATGGAAGTAAAGTACAATAATTTAACAGTTGCAAGTAGCCATCTCTGAAAGAATAATGCAATTGGGCTGTACAAAATGATATCAAATATACAGAAATATCAAAACCCTGATTGTGGCCAGGAACAGATGGATAAATATACGAGGTACTCTATACTCTTAAGGTATGTAAATGCACTGACGGGTCATGTCTCCCCCTCAGCAAGGCAGCACCTGCTCAAGCACAAGTAGGCTTCGCTTATAAGCGGCGTTTTCAAGCCCCAAGAAGCTGAACCAAACCCCAGTCTAGGTGTGTGTGCACAGACTGTGGCTTTTCAGTGCTTTATACAAGCGTGGTCAAGAGCTGTTAACTTTCACCCTTCAAAAGAAACAAGATGCAAATTCTCCTTTGGTGCTTCAATAGGAGGAAGTTAAACATAGATACAGTAGCTTGAACCCTGCGCGCAGCGTCCGAAGCTTTGAAAACTAGCACTGCGTGCGTCCTGGACAGGTAAAGCCTCGGCACAATAATCTCAATATTCACTAGTTAAATTGCCAGATGCTATGGTGGGTGCAGAAATTTTACTAGCTCCCTTTTCTGCTTTGGAGGGCTGCTTACTCTAAGGCTGCATAACCAAACTGCTAGTAGTTAATAGTGCTTCATTTCTGTGTACATCTGGAGGCAGATTTAGACAGTCATTCACTGGCAGAAAGAGTAACCCATTTCATCGCTCCTTGTTTCTTTTTGTTTGAAGTACCTACAGTACTAAAAGTTAGGAGAGCAGAGGACTCTGTTCAGCCACCTTAACACATAGCAGCTTCTCAGTGAAGTCTAGGCATCGGCACGGCACACGAATTTTTGGCTGGTATTATGCCTGACTTGCTAGTGGCCAGCAGATCAGTCCAGGGTGAGATTTTACAGTCAGCTTAAGCTACTGCTGGAAGGAATAGTGGGTCTGGCTGTATGGTCCAGTTCCTGCTCCACCCCATAGCTATTGCTCATGTTTTCATAACTGTTACTGCTGTGACAAAAGATTGAGGAACATTTGCCCAGGGAAGGCCAGGATGACCCCTTCAGCTGTCCACTGCCCTGCTGCAATGTAAAATCTCATCACCAGCTACCGGCAACAGCTTCAAGTTATCTTGCCCTAGACTGTATATGTAATACCACAGGAGAGAATGCCAGTGATCTTTCAAGAACAGCAGTATAGTTTTGCTCTATATAGTTTCCAGCATAAATAAGCATAAAAAAACCCAAAGAAATCCATATAGCATAACCGCCTATAAAATAAACCATTCTGGGAAAAGAAAATCAGACTCTGACAGGGAAGAGAATAAATAACCCCTACAGCGATTAAGTATTCTGCTTTCCCATTCAAACCAGTATCCTGCACACTGAACGAGCTCTGTCTGATGCATATTCCAAAGGGATACCAGAGGCAGCTTGAGGAACAAAGGCTGTGACGTTCTATGACATTAGCTTCAGCTGTTCCTTCCCTTTCTGCCCCCATTCTGACCTGCTCTTCACCTTCTGTGATTCGTGTCTCAGCTGTGCTAACAGAGTTTCTTCTGGCACCACACCATGAACCAAAATGGAGTGCTAAGCTTAAAAAGCCTTCAAAAAGGGGCAAGCGGAGGGAGGGAGTAATTTAAATTTTGGGCCCCTCACTACAGGAAAGGTATTGAGGCGCTGGAGTGCATCTAAAGAGCCAAGAATCTGGTGAATAGTCTAGAGCACAAGGCTGATGAGGAGCAGCTGAGGGGACTGGGGGTGTTTAGCCTGGAGAAAAGGAGGCTCAAGGGTGCCCTAATCACTCTCTACAACTACCTGAAAAGAGGGTGTAATGAGGGGGATGTTGGTCTCTTTTCCCAAGTAACAAGCAACAGGACAAGAGGAAGTGGCCTCAAGCTGCGCCATGGGAAGTTTAGATTGGATATTAGGAAAAAATTTTCACCAAAAGGGTTCTCAAACACGGGAACAGGCTGCCCAGGGAAGTGGCTGAGTCGCCATCCCTGGGGGTATTTGAAAGATGTGTAGATATGGCACTTACGTAGGGCCAGGGTTTAGTGGCGGACTTGGCCAGTGTTAGGTTTACGGTTGGACTCTATGATCTTAAGGGTCTTTTCCAACCTAAATGCTCTATTCTAACCCCGCCAGCTTCACTGATATTTTACAACAAGCAAAGCAGCAACAACTTACCATCAAAAAGAGGTGGGGGTTCCACTGCCTTCCCTCCTGCCTGACGCCAGTTGCACCATTCAACTCTTACAGCAGCTCCAATACTTCTAAAATTCTTACTGAGTGTGGTAGTTGGCTTAGCTCTCTACTTTCTTGCTGAACTCCCTTGTTCAGTTAGCCACTTTAGCAACTCAAATTCATACAGAGGAGTTCAACAAGCTCCAGAAGCTGCACAGGTAAGATCTGGAAGAAGAATGAGTGGCTCTGATGAGCATTTCTGTCAGTGTACTCCACGTTGTGAAATTATGCCTGAAATGTCTAGCGTGACTCAAAACAACTGGACCAGCGTGAGTCACAGGCCAGTGATAACACATCCATCTACGGTACAGGGTGGGGAGGGAAGGCAGAAGCCATCACAGTGGCTTTTCTGTCAAAGTCAGTGGTGCACATGGTGCAACTACACCAAGAATCCTTTCATCCAAACTGCCCTAGGGATTCCCCTCGCCTTGGCTATACTTAACATTGCCATTCCTTCTACTGAACGTTAAGTCAGAAGAGCTCTCAATTTTTGCATTCCAAGCAAACAGCCTGCACTGAGACACCTGAGCTTATTTAAATGTTTCTGCAGTCTCAATTGACCAGAGGCAGTAAATGGTGGCAAATAGCAGGTGGTTTATATTTGTTTACAATGCCCTAAAGCGTACGATTATAGATGGGAAATGTTGTAATTTTAAAAAATAATATTAAAAAAGGCTGCTACTTTCACATCACTCAGAAATTTTTCCAGTAGCTACAATCTTCTGAATAAAAAAATAAAGAAACAGGAAAGATTCTTTAAAAAAAAAAAATAAAATGTAAAGTTAAGTAAAAGTAATGCTAAATAACATTTGCAAAATTTGGCTACAATCATTCTGTTGTAATACCAAACATTCGTTCTAAACAGGCCTGAATCCAACATAAGGCATTTTGACAGATTCTTAACTAAATAAACAAACTGTGGTACACTTGAGAGTAACTCTGGGGAGGACTGAAGAATTGCTGTGTGTTCCATTCAGCTATCCATAGGCGATGGAGTGTATTAATAGGGGGCACGCTCTGCTGTGCATCTCAGCATCTCCCAGCAACATCTTGTATTTCATCATGAAATAATGAATCTGCTGAAATAAGTAGCAAGAACTTCTCTCACTTCAGCAGCTAATGAAGTGGCCTTCCACAGACAGATTCGGTCTTTCAGTACCGACACATTCTTCCTTTAGGCCGCACTCCACAAACACTTCAGCGACATATGCCCGGCTCTGCTGCGGCAGTGCTGAGGCTGCTCAGCAAAATTCATTATGGACCGAGACATGTGCAGGATCAACAACTGACAATGAACTCCATATGCTCGTAGTTCTTATTATCAGGTGCTTGGCTTTCGCAAGTTGAGAAATTCTGATTTTCATTCTGATTAAAAACACAGGGAGCCATCTAGTCTGTGTAACTAAGACTAGTTATACATGTTTGATGGATAGTTTAGGCATATGCCAGATGTTCTCAGGTTATGAGGGTACAGTGTATTTATTATGTATATATACACACAGCGAGGCATGGAAGAAAGCCAGAAACCAGTTTGTAAATTAGAATGTGGGACAATATATTTCTAATTGACGTGTAGTTTTCTTTTAATCATATGGAGTAAAAATATTTGAAGTAGCCATTTGTTCCCTCTCCAATTAACTTTTTTTCTTTTTTAAGGAAATAAAAAGTCAACTACTTCTCATTCTTACTTTTCCTTCTTGAGGTATAAATGCCTGTACCTTAATTTCAGAATATATCTAAAGGTGATCCAGCTGGAGGAGGTATGATGATTTTGTTTTAGAAGTTACAGCTTTGACAACACAATGAATCTATAAAGGCAACAAATTTTTGTACGACAAAATTCCTGCAGCCCCGAAACACGTAATAGTCTGCATAACAGACTCACAGTTAGCTATCCGGAGGAACACACTCAAGATTTCCCATCTTTCTGCCCAACAGTTTCTCCTCTAGCCTTGGAAAATTTGAACAGGTACACACAGTTGACAATTTATGATTCTGCCTATCTACATCCTGTTCTCCAAAGGACATCTTGACAGGAAGATTTAGTCATACTAGTAAACTGCTTTCTTGTCAGCAGAAGCCCGCACTGATTTGATGTCCCTTTTTATATATTTTTAAATCAGTATACAGAATGCATTAGAGCTGTAGAGAGAGAACAGAATTTCATTTTGTTTCTTCACTTACCACCCTACTGAGTGAGGATCAGTGTAGAACACAGAGGCGGAATGTTTCAAAAGCTAGTAAGTAAAAAAAGAAAACTCTGATGTTTACACTGGACTTTCTGTCTCCATGCCCTCTCCAGTCTAAGCTAAGAGAAAAAACCATTTGGTTCAAAGTCAGGTCAGAGCAGTGGATGAAATATCTTATCACAGCTTATATGTAACGTGGTCTTCTGAAATTATTTCAACAAGGTATTTTTCCACTCACTCAAATAAAAGCATCTCCAAAGCATCAAGATTTGATTTACGCATAGATATTTATCCACAGCAGCTTACAAATTAAGTAGTCAATTATAACAAAAAAACAAAAAAAAAATTGAATGAGTTATTGTTCCCCAATATTTTCAACCAGCTTAAAGGAAATACAGTAGAACCTCACTGTTTTGCACTGACGACTGGGAGGTTAATTGTACCTCATCTCACTTCGACCATTTTACAACATTCAAGTGCTAAGAGTTAAGCCAGGATGACGCACTTCAACATGTGTCCTGTTCACACCAGTGGAGTGTTGTAATTCTGCTTTATTTCCTATCCTATAGGTGTAAATGGAAAATAAGTCAAAATGAGGTAGCACTGCCACTCTCTTTGCTGGAATGTGGACAGATCCTGGCCTAATTTTAAACAGTAGCTTAGCAAGATTCTACTGTAATCTACACAAAATGTATAAAACACGAACCTTTTCCAGAATAAGGCCACTAATTTTGCCATTGGCAATAGGCAGTGAGAAACAGCAGTTAAAAAAAACCCTCACTTGATTACAGAGGTGTTTTTGAGGCAATAAACCATGGGGAGAAATATAAACACATCGGCCTCTCACCCCTCCTCTTTGTTTTCCAGTATAAGTATCTCTGCTTCCTGTAAATACTATTCCATGGGGAGAAAGTTCAGTCTATTTTCTTCGCTGGGAGTCTAAGCAAGTTCATGGTATATTTAAAGACGGGGCCAGCACTGTAAAACAGGAGGGTTATAAGCTTCCCATGAGTCACGGTCATGACAGTCTGATGTCCAGATGCCCAGATTCGATACCAGGGCCCATAAAAAGGATCCGAGATGGCTGGGCACAACATGTTGTTCAAATTCACTTCTGTAACCTGAGAAAGCGATAACAAATTTATCAATTAACAATATTTTTGTGTTGCACTGATTCAGACACCTAAAATGGTAATTTTGAAATTACCATAATAATCAAAAATGTTTAGGTGACAATCCTTTGTTCAACACAGGTAGGGCAGCTCTCAGAAGAAAAGCAGATCCAAACTCAGTTGTGCATTTAATAGATGGATTTATGCAGGTACAAATACGATTTATGAAAGATTTTACCGATACTTGTGAGATAGGAGATACAAATGCCCATTAGAACATGCAATTAAAAATTTGCACGCAAATAGTCTTATCCATGTACATCTGGGCTAGTAGAAAAACCAGTCGGTGTTTTCACTTTGAATGTACTTGCAAACTATCCATTTATTAACTTCTATTTACTTACCAATCCCAGAATCTGCAAGATGCTAAAATGATAGACAAACATAAACCCCGTGGATAAAAGAGCCCACCAGAAATTGCAGAGTGGTTCTGGAGTGTAGACACCTTGAAAAGAAAGGAATACATTAGTATTTAGCTGAATTGCTGTGTCCATCAAACACTCACGAATAATCCTCTCTCTTCATCTCTGTGGATGTTGGGGCATCTGGCTTTAGCTGATAACCCACTCAATACCATTAGAATCATTAATATTTGAGAGCCTCATTTCTTACCTGGAGTGTCCCAATCAGTTTCTTCCCGCTCTCTGGTACAGCAGGAAAATGTTCAATATGTTACCTCATTAAGCTTGCCTATTTTTCTTTATTCCAGTGATTTTTACCTCGTTCTTCCTTCTACCACAGAAGTACTAAATGATTTTAAAATACAGTAATGGTGTATAATGTATCTTCAAGATACAAGGTTATTATGGAATTAAACATTCAAACATCATATGGCGAGAACAACAACAGTTTCCAGAGTTCTCAAGACTCTTACTAGCAGACATGAAAATTTCAGTGTCAGATACAAGCAAAAATACTGCTTTCCTCCTGACTTTAATAACAACCTAAGGACACAAAAGAAAAAGATGTACAATGCCATGCTGCTCAGATCTAAAGAAGCTGTAGAGTTTCAGATGATTATAAAAACATGGGCATTTTGTATCTGCCTTTGCTCTCTGCTCCGTTAGATATTATTTAATATTGGAACATGTTTCCAGTACTCCAAGGACGGCACACAGCACAGAATGCAGTACTCACATTAGCCTTGCAGGAAGATTCAACAGACTTCAGCATACACTGCACGAGGCTTCTGGGAACTCGGATAACTACACACGCGCAGCTAGCTACGACAGAACTCGCCAGACTAAAGCTGGTATCAGTATGCCTGTGCATGGTATCAGATGTAAAGGCAAATAACGGCGGTTATCTGCTCTACAGATGCATCCTATCTTACATTTAAAATCCCTAGAGGGCTGCTGTCTCACTCCCTGTTGTCCTTTTACAATTCTTTGCTGCATAGTTTCTTCCATAGTTTGTACCCATCGTACCAGTTCAGATGGATTTTGCAGTAGCTACCTCACATAATCTAAATATCATTTTGTGAATGTTACAAATTGAAAAGACCTAATTTTATTATCCAAAACTGTCCATCTATTCATTGTCCACTCTAAATAACACAGCTTCTCTGCTGCTAGCCAAGAGAGCAAGGAGTTGATAGTGTGCTTGAATGACAGCAGCACATATGGACCCCATAGATCATTCGCTGACTGTAATGAGCAACAGTGTTGGTGTGATTACCCAAGACACAACTGCACACCATGCTTTAGTAAAGCAAGCTGTGACTTGGTGCAACCGTGATAAATACGAGCACAGAAGCTATTTAGAAGCATAAGGCAGCTTATAAGATTTATTATCCGCTAGGTGGGTGAGTGTCTGAACTATAAACGAAATCCGAAGGTAGAAGTGAACTCTCCAGGAATAACTTTACATGGAGTGCACAACAGGTAAAGGGAAAAAATTCACAACAGTCTACTTCTTGGAACAGACTTAGCAAGCATGACCCAGAGCCGGTATCCTGTTCAGAAAACAGTACAGGAGACTTGACTTAAATAGCAATGATATTCATTAAACTCCACTGCCTGAAAACATCAGATATGTGATACCACCCTGAATACGGTTTTTCATTACAGAGAGCAAGAGAAGAAGCCAGTAGCCTCGGTGTCAGCGTGCAGGGGACTATGGCTCTGGTTTTGGCTGCACCAACTCTTAAGTGACCTGGTCAAGCTATACACAAACTCTGTGCTCCCCCTTCAGCTGTAAAGAAAATATCATCTGACTCGCAAAGGTTTTTTTTGCATTGTCTTTGCAGTTTTAGGTGCATGTTTAACCTAATGCAAAACACAAAATAAAATTTAAATAAGGGAGCTAAGCCAGCTCCCAGGATCTGGCAGAGTAGTGCTGTACCACATTTGGTTTCATGGGAACTCGCCTGGTTGGCAGTTGCCTGTTATTTCAAAAGTATTCGACAAAGCCTGAGAACAGATGGTAGTAGTCTAAAGCAGTAAACACTCAGAAAAGCTAGAATTCAGAGACCTTGAGATTTGGGGGACTTTCAGTGCAGGTAGTATATAAGCACTAAAATAGACAAGTGAAGCCAGCTATGAAACAAGACTGGAAGGAGAAAGCAGTCATTAAAAGACTAAGGAAATTGCCCAAGATGACAAAACAGATCAGTGTCATGATTTGGCTTTAAACCCAAACTTCTCATGTCCAGCTTCAAACTAGTCAGGGAATCACGTTTCAGCAGTCACTCAGAACTGTTCAGGTTCCTCCAGCAAAGAATTTCACACTGCTACATCCCCTCTCTGTTGCAAAACTTAAAAAAATACATTAGCAACTCTCACCCTCTACAGACTTTTGATCTCCCTACGTAACAGAAAAAGCCCTCCTTGCTAGACTTTGCAGTCCTTAAATAATAGTGTGATTTTTCAGCAGTATTATTTGGACATCAAGGGACAGAAAGGAAACAATGACCTCCACATGAAAATATTTCAGAGAGCTCTGGATTCCCAAGTGTGCTTTGGGAAACTAATTTTAAATTCATACCTGGGATATTTTCTGTACATTTCTCAGTAGATAGATAATCACTATAAATTTTATAACTCTATGGTCCTGCCATTCAGCAGATGACTGTTGTGATCCATTTGCTGTAGTACACAGTCTGTCAACAGAAACATACAAACAGGAAAATGGAGACCCACCTGAGTTGTTGTTTGAATGGCCTGTGTTGGCTTTGGCAAAAGCTACTTGCTGCTAACATAGGAAATCAATTTCAATAGGTAGCAGTGAGTTTCAGTCTCTGTTCATTAAGGAGTGCAGGCAATTCTTATATGTTAAGCACTTTCAAAAATTTAAGCCAACTGCCAGTCTGGCACTAATCTCATTCTCAAAAATGCTCACGCCCCACACAGTTGAGGCTGTAAGCCAACTGCCAGTCTGGCACTAATCTCCTTCTCAAAAATGCTCACGCTCCACACAGTTGAGACTTTTCCAAATCAGGGTCATCCAAGTAGGCTGTATTTGCTCTTGTGTTAAAATAGCACAGTAGTGCATAGTTCAGTTGAAATTAAACTTCATTTTTTCAATTGCATTGATAGGAAGGATTTCATATAGATTGAACAGTTTGAGGTTCATCGTCTGCTTCTGCAACAAGAATTTGTTGACCTTGAACATGCCAAGTGGTTAATTCTGCCATCTAGGAAATGGAAGCATGGCTTTAAAAATCTAAAGATGAACAAAGAGACTATTTCTTTTATACTGCTTCCCCCCCCCATCATTTTTTCAATTGCATTGATAGGAAGGATTTCATATAGATTGAACAGTTTGAGGTTCATCGTCTGCTTCTGCAACAAGAATTTGTTGACCTTGAACATGCCAAGTGGTTAATTCTGCCATCTAGGAAATGGAAGCATGGCTTTAAAAATCTAAAGATGAACAAAGAGACTATTTATTTTATACTGCTTCCCCCCCCCAATGTCTTGTACTAGTTCTAGTGTTCTTATGAACTGTTATTTAAAGTTCTCAAAACATAAGCTTGTAAAAATTTGAGCACAACATAATAGAAAGTAATACTCTGTCTGTATTTCTATGAAGGCATAATGCAGGAGAAAATTACTCTTCTGTTTGAATTAGAGAATTAGAACCTAAATATAGTACAACTTTTTAATTTAGTAGGGTGTTAAAATAATCTGTTTTTCCTAATTAGCGTCTGGCTTTCATTCCCACTACATTTGATAGAGCTTTACCAGTTCTCCAGCTCAGCACACTCTCCTTCACTAGTCTCACAGGTAAACCTGCGTAATCCAAAACTCAGAGCAATTATTAAAATTCCTTCATTTTCAACCTTATAAAAATGTGAGGGCAAATTTATTTCCATTTTATTTCCCTTGATCAAAGGGTTAATTCCAGTAGTGTGGCCTACTGAGCTAGACTAGAGACCAAGCTTCCTTTCCAGGGGAAAACAGGAAAAGTGTTCTCAAGAGGATGAGTCTGAAATCCACTGTTTCCCCTACAGTTTCCCTGTAAAATCCCCAAATTTAAAAAAATCCCCTAGCGATTTTTTTTTCCCCCTGGATTACTACTAAGGTATATAATAAAGCCTGCTTTATAACTCCATTTAAAAGCCAAGGAAAGCTACAGCTAGATGCAGGTAAGTGTCACAAAGTGGGGAAGTGGCTGAGAAAGTGCACAACAGTGAGAAATGCCTTTAAATATGGAAATCCCTCAGGCTTGCCAGCAAGTCCTAACAGCCAATGGAAAGCACAAGTTTAGATCCGCAATTGCTTTAATTGCGTTTTCCTAGTTTACAGCCACAGGAAAAATGATCCTTTCGGCTGTACTTGGTATCTGTGTTCTACATCTTACAACTTTCCCCAGCTTCTCGTTAGGTAAGAAACGCTGTGCTGCCCTGAAGAAAGCTGGCTACCCAGTCCTGCTTCTGGACATCTGTCTGAAGTACAACAGAGGCATCCCCCATGAGGGGGGAAAAAAATAAAAAAAAACAAACATCAACTTCTGCTCACTTTCTGACAATGCCACAGAAGTTCATCTCTTCTGATGCCACTTTTGAAGACACATCAAAAAAAGGGCTTTATGACTTGAGTCAGAGAGACAGTTTCTTTATTGCTTATAAAGATACAGCACTTGCCTTATAAGCTGCACATTCTGACTCTACTCCCAGCAAACAACTCACCTACTACTTAATTATTTAGGGTGTATATGTCTGTCCACATGTGCACAGCGATACCAGTAAATCAGCTGGGGTCACAGACCACAGGACTGTCCGGAATTTACAAGGCCATTACTGTCAGTTTTGTCTGCAAAATATGATTCCCCCCCAAAAACCCCCAACCAAACCACTTCAGTCTCTCCGGAGTGGGGACAAGCTGCCTTTGCAGGGTGATCTGGAGCACTGGCATAGCCATTTTGACAGACTATCTCCCCCTGCAGGCTAACGTGTCAGAGCCACAGGACCACTCACAGACACCACCACACAGCCTCTGATGAAGCACACACCATATCCTGGAACTTCAGGTACAGCTGATTCACAAATCAGATTGCTCCTGAAAGTGACAAAATCCTAAAAAAAAAAAAAAAATCAACACTAACATCCTTTTCTACTTCATTAAGTTATTAAGTCAACTAAACAATGCTGGGGATCTCAAAACACAAGAAAGATTATATCCTGAAGTCCACTGGTAGGGAGCTGCTATGAATTAACCCTTATTGCAAACTGCTGTGAAATGATATCATTTGCTCCCAGCACTCAGGAAATAACAATTCCACTTTGATTAAATTTCAGTATGATTTGAAGCTCTGAAATCAGGTGCACATCTAATTCTGTCAAATCCATCCAAAAATCTGACCAAACTAGCTTTAAGGACCAAGACAGTGAAGAACTGTGAGTCTCTAAGGCTGATGCCATGGAAACTAGATTTTTTTTTTGTGGCAGTTTGAGACATTGCACTTCCTCAGCTGCCTTCTATGAGCGATCCGTATGCCAGTAGCATAAAGTATAATTATCTGAGTGTACTCATATGCTTCAGAAGACCAACTTAGTTGTAGATGAAAGTGGTTTGAGGAGTTTTTCAATGAAGGGGTTGGTTCCATGGTCTAAATTTGCGCTGCTGTGGTTCCTGTCTTCTTCCTTTCACCTTGACAATTCATTCACTGCACCTCTCTTTTGCTAACCCTAGTTCTCATCTGATCTAACAGTAAACCAATCCAGAACCTACAAAAGCATTCGTATTTTTTGACAGAGAACCAAGGCTCTCACCTCCTAAGGACAAGAGAAAGCAATGACCTACTGCTGTGGTTCAGCCTATGCAGCTACTTCAGGAATGCTGTGTCCTGCCCAGATGCATACTATAATTTTTGTCAGGGTTCACAGGCCATACAAGGCGAGATTCATTCAGTTTCCAACTGCAGATACACTTCAGTTAGGAATCTTCTATGCTGTCCTGCTGTATCTGCACATCTATTTTGCCTGAGAGCCTCTACTGCAGCCAAAAAAGATCTGAGCCATAGTGCATAAGTATTTATTTTGCCTAACCTGGTATGCATATGTATGTATAGATGCATATATGCACTTGGAAAGAAAATTCGTTAGAAAGAGAAGTACGGAAATTTATATTCACTCGGTACAGAGGGGAGGGAGAGGAAAGAGGAAGAGAGAAAAAGGTCTTAATCCCCGAGAGGGAATACATCGCTGCACTTCAGCGAGTTCACTGTGCAATGCTGAAGCCTGAGCTCTGAACCTCTTTCTCATCAATTTGATCCTATGCATGGTAAAGCCCCACACGTACTGGGGGGGAACATGAAGGTGATGCTGCCAGAGCAACATGACCTGTCTTCACCACTGTAATGAATAGCAGGAGAGAAAGAAAATAGATTATTACAGCCCTCACTTACTGTCACCCAGCTCCTTTCAAAACGGAAACACTTCAACAGGCAACTGAAGGTGTGTGCATGGTGGGCATGATGCTTGACTAGCATGTCAACAACCCTGGACATGCAGTTCTGTATAGAATGAGCCTCAAATCAACTCAGCTTCAAGTGTTCTGCTCAACCTTCCTTTGTGAAATGTTAATATTACGATTGAGATCCTCTTAAGGCCATCAGTGACAGTGGCAGATTCCCTATAAAACTGTAGTAGTATATTTTTCCACATACAATCCATTCCTTTTCATTTTTCCAATTTTACTACCCTTCAATTACTTCTCCTGATCATAACCAATAGATTAATTGATGGAAATTTCTACATAAAATACAGAAATAAAGCTGCATGCTGATCAATGTCAGGGATGAAAAAGCAATTTTCTCAAGATATAGTTAGGATAAAGGATGTGATCTGCTCAGAAAGTACTTTAAACAAAGGTGCTGGTGAAATGCAAAATATTAACAAATTTTTTCAGGCTGAGTAATTTTTCCATCAAAAATCATACATTCCGTCTCCTGGGGTATTGGCCATAACTACTACAGCAGTCCATGGGTGTTGTGCTAACGAGCTATTACAGTCAGCCAGGTGATCAGGAGCCAACTGCGTAAGAAATTGAACAGTTATTCATTACCCAGCCCAGGGCAATCTCCATTGATAATATTTAGCCAACAAAGTTCTTTTAGAAATGTCACTGCTATCGTGTCAACATTAGATGGCAGCAAATACCTGTAAACTAATAAAGGGCAAAAATTTAGAAACCTGCCCTAGAGTGACAACTGTACAAGACAAAGCCCTTCAGACTGCAGATATAATCCTACCAGCCCCAGAAAACAGGCGCTGAAGAACCCAGAGAGCCTTTACTTCAAAACAAACAAACAACCAAACCAACCAAACCAACAAAAACAACCAAAAAAAAATAAAAATCAAAGGAACACATCAAGTGACATCCAAGGCCAAATTTTAAAGCAAAAGAAATATGTCTTAAAATGATGTTATATGGGAACTTCAAGGCCATGAAAAGAAGTGACTTAATGACATCCCAAGAGCTTGGGTCGTCATTGTCTACAGTGGCTGGTTACACTTTCTCCCCTGTCCCCATCCTCCTTCCCCTTCAACAATGATTAGGAAGAGTCTGTGTAACTTCTACAACTATACTCCACTTCAACATTATTTGCCAGAATTTTAAGGTATCAAAGATGGATTAAAATTATGTGGCTGGCTTATTTCTCTGGTAGAGAAAGAAACAGAATTATTTCAATTTTTCCTTTGGATCATCTTTATTTAGTTCCACTCAGCAGTGAAAACCAAAAAGGTTACAAACCTATAGTGAAATAAGTGTGAAGGATTGTAAGTGACTGCTGGCATAAAATACTAAAGATTCACACAAATGGAAGAGGCTTGTTCTGAGCATTTGCTAAATTGTATCCCATTGCTTGACACCACATCCTCGGGGTTTTCATTAAAGGCTACTGAACATCTTGACCATAAATTATTATCTTTTATTTCTTGGATTAAACAATTTAGCTCTGCTAGAAAACGCGGCTGGAGGCATGTCAACACTAGAGGGGGGCAGAGCATCACACCAGATGCATACACATTGCATTCCCTTCTAAAGAGCGACAATTAGAAAAATCACTGGCCAGTGACACAATTTGGGATTCCCAGATTTACGGAATTAATATGGTATAAGTGAATGCAAGATAGTAATTTGTTAGAAAAGATAACAGGCAAGCTAGCTCATTTCACTAATATATGCCACTACATATTATTGACATTTCATTACAGTTTCAGAATTTCAGGAATTTATCTAACTAGCCAACTAATATTCACATGGGAATAAAATATTATTTTTTTTCAGCTCATTTTAAGTTGCAGTATGTCTCAAGAGACATCCCAGCAGGCAAAAGCCTTAAAAATACATCCCACCAACAGCTTAAAATGTTGCAAGATGACAGAGATGCTACTCAAGAAGACAGTGCACATTATGCCAATACATTCTTAATATCACTTTGGGCAAAAGACCATTTTTTAATTCCCATTTCAGTGCCTGACACAAGGCTTTGTTACCCAGGTTACAACTCCAATATAACACCAGAAATTATTAAGCAACAACATAGAGAAAATTGGTAAAAAAGAGTAAGAGTAAAGCCCATGGTAACCACTGAGCACAGCTTTTTCATTGCACGGGACTAATTCCATATGTACAGAGTAAATTGCCAACCTACCTCCTTTCCGCAGCAGATAGATGGGCACCACATAAAGCATCACATGCTGGATGTAATAAACTTCCATTTCGAATGGAAGCTGCGGAACAAGGAAAATATTTGTTAACGTTTTTCATCACTAACAACTGAGTTACAAGGAACCATTCTCCTGATGACCCATGACAGTCCCTTCGGTTCAGTTATTTTACACCTATGGATACTAACAAAGAGATGACATTAATGGTCAGCGCTTCGAAAGTGCAGCTAACTGCACCCATTCCATTCCCCTTGTCACAAACGCAATGCAGCACTTCAGGCAGACAACTCTCAAAACCAGCCAGAAGCACAACAAAGAAGGAATAACATAAGATTGCTCTTTTCCCTTTCTTAGCATAACTTACCAAAAACAATGCAAAACCCTCAAGTAATCAAACCAGAAGCTGTAGACACCCTATATGACAGCAGCCTATTTAGAAGGAAAAGATAATTGCTACCTTGGGAGAGAACTCTATAAACGAGGTCTTTGCTATATAAAAGTATATAAATAAATATAGAAAATTAATTACTGAAGAGGCCTGTGCAAAAATTAAACTCTGATTTATAGTAACCTGCATGCATGTGTGAAACTGCTAAGCTTCACCAAATATAAAATTAAATAACCAATATTTTATTGGTTTTAAAGAGAAGCTGTAGAAGGATGTCTGTAAACGAGTTACCAGTTAGTAGTAAATCAGGTATTTCTCACTTGCTGACAACTTTTGGGAAATTACAATTAGTAATTAGTTGAATTAGTTACTTCTCAGTCAAACAGACTGCTAAAATAATACTGTGCTAAAAATAACTTGAACCACAACTCTGAGTTTAATTTGAGCCCCTTAAACCAGCCCCAACTAACTCCAGCTCTTTATGAGTTAGAAAGGATGACGCACTGTATTTGAAAGTTATTCCCATCTGCAAATGTTTTTGCCTGTATCTAGTTTTTAAACTACAGCAACACATTTAAAACTGAAGAGTAGCAGAAAAGATTCAAACTCAAATTTCAGAATTCAACTTCTTGCTGCAGCTCACTTACAAAGCTGAGAAGATACACTTTTCCATTAATTTTCAGAGGTGAAAACAGGACCATACCACCACCCAAGTATGAAATCTCACAGGAGTAACTCAAAGCCATCAACTTTGGTTCAACGGAGACTCATTCTAGCATTCTGCAGGCTAAAGTGAGGCCAGATGCAAGTCCTACCATCATGGCTTGTCTGTTGGGAAGAAAAAATAAAGGGGGGAAAAAAAAAGCCTTCTTTTGTATCATTGTTCTGAAACACTGAAGTCATAGTGTTGAAACAAACATTACAACAAAGTTGCTCTTGCTGTTACATCAACAGAAGTAAAGAGAGGTTGAAACAGAGTTTGGTTTTCTTCCTAAATACCAGTCAATAAACAGCTGGTTTATATATATAGTGATCTTTTAAGTTCAGCGATAATTCTTATATCCTGTTTTGAATGTAAAAGATGCTAAAACCAACAGCTGGATTCTGCTAGTCCTGGCATCCCCCACCTGAACACTGTCAGTGTCCTGACTGCAACCTCCAAGATGTTCAGCCAGCTCTTGGGAGACTAAGCTAAAAAAATCTTCCATACAATCTGTTGAGTTATTTTATTCCAAGTATTCTGTATCAAAACATAAAACCAAGCAAGACAATAGTATGCAAAAGCAAGAACTTCACAGAAGTTTTGAGGTTTCCTGAATCTGAACCTTTTCTGCTGTTCCTTATTGAAAGACACATAGGGCAAAGTGAGGGAATCAAAATTATTTGGGAAGAGGCTAAAGCAGTTTTCCTAAATGGGGAAAAAGCTGTACCACTCCCAGCTGGAACAGGCACACTTCAGAAACAATAGCTCCTGCTATAAACAACACAACATGAGGCACTCACTCCTGCCAAGGAGCATTCTCTATTTAGTATCTGTGGTTTCATAAGGGCTTCTACACTCGCTGAGCTGTGAGGGTCAGTTACACAAACCCTACGCTCAGGATACTTCTCAGAACACAGTACCAGTTGTTTTGCTGCAGTAGCGTTGACAATATTTTTTTTTGTGTAAAACAAAACATCTTTTTTTCACGATAAACGATTGCTTGTTCTGAAGCCTGGCTAATTATGCGAGTGCATTTCCTGGTGTAGAGCTGCACAAGGACAGTTTCTGGACAACCGAGCCCTCAAGTTTTACAGCCAGGCTACAACAAACAGAAAAAGAACAAACACGAAAGCTGAACTATAAAGCTGTACTGAGTGAGTGACACACCTAGCTCTCAAGGTCCTGTCTATAAACGGTTTTATCAATAAAAGACTCACTCACAGATATCAGATAGACAATTTTACACGCAAGGAGAAACTGCAAGTGAAGGCAAGGTAGAAGGGATCATCCATCAATATAGGATTTAAAGAACCTCTTTTTGAAAACAAGTCAGCACTTGAGAAACTGGTGACGTTTGAGAAAGTTAAAAAAAAAAATCAAAACAATACCTACAGAACAAAGCAAGTCAAAATATGGAGTCAGTCCCTCTATAATATTTGACTATAGGCACCCGTGAAGGTCACATGTATTTAAACACAGACTTCAACAATCACCAAAGTGGACTCTTCCCAGGCCCCAAGAGACGTGTCTTCTCCTGTCAGATGTCACCGTGGAAACCTAGCAGCCACTCTAAAGAGCAGCATTTCCCCAGTAACAAACCAATGGTAAGTTTCTTCAACCACACCAGTCCTCAAAGAGATCCAGAATCACCCGATACTTCTTACCAAGATAGACTCATCTGAAGCCTGCATATTAATTGTCAATTTTTTTGCTGGGTTTTGTACTAAACTGCTGCCAGCATCACTCTTGCTGCAATTCATCTTGTTTCCCTTCCTCAGAATCTTAAAAACAACTAATAGTACAAGACAAAAGGACAAATTACCTATTTCTTCTACTAATTTATATTCTAGGCTCCCTTAACAGCGTAAATTAATATAGAAGACAGCTCTGCTACTCAAGACAAGAAGTGTTTCTCCTTTAAAGATTCTTACTTGTGGCAAAGCAAACGTGCTCCATCCATCCACAGGTTTTAACATGGGTATAAAATAATATACGTTTCAAAACACACCTAACACTGACATACACAATGCCTCTAACACACATGATCAAAGCATGCTAACAAAGTACTCTGGAAATAAATATTCAGACTATTCACTTTTCACATTTTGTAATAAACTTTCTGTTAGAAAATAAATGGTGTTTTGTTCCCCAAGGAATGGTTTGGCTCAAAGCAGCAGCATGTGCTTCTAGCCCCCACATCAGATACAGATTCAGAAGTGCCACATTCCCTGGACACACGCTAAAGGCCTTTGGGAAAGTATCAAGAACAGTGAGCAGGCAGTGAACCTCCACCCCAGGAAGAGGTAAGTTAAGTACAGGTCTACTAGTCTAGCTAAACTCCTAGCAGCTGCTTACATTGCTTGCGAGACTGTGGAAAGGAGAACCTGTATCACGAAGGATTAGAGCTCACCCTCGCATCTCTGAGCATGAAGAGTCACAGCCATCAAGAGCAGTCCTCTTGAGCATGTACTTGATGTCCTAACTTACCATTGAATGGTTTGGGTTGGAAGGGATCTTAAAGATCATCTGGTTCCACCCCCTGCCATGGGCAGGGACACCTCCCACTAGCCCAGGTTGCCCAAAGCCTCATCCAGCCTGGCCTTGAACCCCTCCAGGGATGGGGCATCCACAGCTTCCCTGGGCAACCTGGGCCAGTGTCTCACCACTCTCACAGGAAAAAAATTCTTTCTAATATCTAGTCTAAATCTGCCCTCTTCCAATTTAAATCCATTACCCCTCGTCCTGTCACTGCATGCCCTTGTAAAAAGTCCCTCCCCAGCCTTCCTTAAACTTTCCAACTTAAACCAGCTACTGCCCTAAGGAAGCAACTAGGTCGTCCCATTGACTGCACTAAGCTTTAGAAAAATCTCTTCAAGACAGCAGTAGAGTTGGGCCCAAAAGTCAGATATTCAGATGAGAGTTTCCCCCAAAAGAGTATATCACACTCATATAAAATACGAGTTTAAAATAGTTTAAACCCACTTAGACACAGCAGTTGGGTTTTCAGAGGGCTAGGAGGTTGCCACCTGTCTCTCGTGTCTGAAAGTAGCACTCCTCCCCTCTGTTAATTATTTATACCTTGGCTTTATATTTGCAACAACAGCTCAAGCACTGTTGTCCAAGAGCTCTCCCTCCATCACCCTCTATAAAGACTGCAGAGAATGTCAGAAAAAGGAATAGAAGGAATTCAGCTCCCAGATTCTGGTCTTTTCTGTAGCACATCCAGCACGAAGTCCAGTAAACATCAAATATCATTCTGTACCAGTGACCTGACATTCCTATATATCTGAA